CTCTGAGGTTAGAAAACGTTTCGAGTTGAAGGGATTGAAGGAAGACGTACTAACTTATGTTCGTACATGTCGGGTGTGTCAGAGAAACAAACATTCACATGAGAATCCACTTGGTCTTCTAAAACCATTACCTATTCCTAGCGAACCAGGTGAGTCTATCTCAATCGATTTTATGAGCCTCACCAAATGTCAGAACGACAATAGTCAAGTAATGGTTATTGTGGATCATTTCTCTATATATGTCATGTTTATTCCCTTATCTGCAGAAGCGCGAACATAACTTGTCATACAAAAGTTTCAGATGCATTGGGTGGCTGAGTATGGTTTCCCTATCTCTATTGTATCTGATCGTGATGCCAGGTTCACAAGCATGCAATGGCAAAAGCTCATGGAAGCATACGGTACACGATTGACCATGTCGTCAGGGCGACACCCTGCCGCGAATGGACAAAGTGAACAAATGAATGTGTCAGCAGCCTTTGCGTATGTATGTAAGACCCGATCAGATTGATTGGGACGACAACTTACCCAAGATAGCAAGTGCATACAACAGTAGTGTTCATACCGCTACAGGGCGCACGCCTAATGCACTACACAAGGGGTGGAAACCTAAGAGTCCCATTGATGTGTTAACACGGGACCAGTTTCTTATATTACCTCCAGGGACTCGGGAGTATGCAGTATTGTTTCAAGAAGACATTAAGAAAGTAAAGAAAAAATTGAAGAAAGTTCAGGACCAGATATTTGAACAAGCTAACAAGCATCGTCGACCATGCACATTCAAAGAAGGTGATCTAGTCTGGGTCAAGTCCAAAGAGTTTTCGTTGGAAGAAGACGTGTCTCTGAAAATTTTGCCTGTCTATTTTGGACCCTGGGAAGTTCTCAAAGTAATTGGGGATGCAGAGGGGCCGTCTTATCGTAGTGATATTCCCCCTCACCTCAAAACGTATCCTGTCTTTTATGCGTCGAAATTGTTACCTTATGTAGAAGGAAATGAGTTCCCAAACAGACCATCTATGATTCCGCCATCCGTGGAAGGCAGATACGAAGTAGACAAAATCATAGAACATGGTTACTTCTCTACACGTGGACGTGGACGAGTTCAAGGTATGTTTCAAATATCAGGCACCATCTTAGGACAGATGGTTTAGTAAACGAGAATTACCTTGAACTGCTCCGGATATTGTATCTGCACATGAACGTGGGTTAACGTCTTAGTTATTTTTGCTATGGAACTCCAAATTGGGTTGGCAGGAATGCAGTGACCCGTGTTCTGCATAAGTCTGGGCCTCGAACGGAGCCCAGACTACAGAGGCTAATCTCGGCGTGTGCCAGGCAGTGTGACCACACAATGCCCTAGGGAAGTCGACAGTCTAAGTCAACTGTCAAAGGTACCACGCGCAGGCCCTTGGTCGGATACACTCACTTGTTGTGCGCAGGTACCCAGACAGCATCAAGGCCACGGAGTTCAGTTTCAGGCCTATCTAGGTCGTCATTTGCCTTGAGATCTCGACGGCCGAGGGAAGCAGCAACCAGGGTCCACACCTCGCATCAACGCTACATAAGCCTGGACCTCCTGGCTTGGAAAACGTTCTGTCTTGTGTCAATGCTGACTTCACGCGTTGACTACAACGCTAGCGCAACGCTGCGACGCTGGCTGGACGCTGCTCTACGTTGGAATTTGGACGAATGCGGCGACGCGCTGTTGGCTCGGCATGGTGGCTGACTTGCAATTGTCTTCTGGGCATGGTGACGTGGCAGCTGCCACGCACCGCCGCTGACGTGGCCGCTGCCACGTATACTGTTGCTGACGTGGCGATGTTACGCGACTGGTATTGCTGTTCTGATTCATCGTCACTCGGGTGAAGATCATAACTATGGGGCGACTGAAGATACATACCTGGTTTCTTGATGTCGACATTGCTCCAGTTCGATGATGAGGACAAATTGATATGCCACGTGGTTCATTGTGATAGAACTTCAAATTCGCGTTCAGACTATTGATTATTGAGGTGGCGATCGAGGAGGGAGCCCGAAGCAGAAGTGGGCATTGTCTTCTTTCTCCACTCTAAGTCTATTCTCCCTCTTGCCATGCCGAAATGTGCCAGACCCTGGCGTTGAAGCTCAACCAGGGGTTGTTTTGAAAACAGGCCTGAAATGGCCTGTGCTAAAACCCTGGTTTGTTGCCTGAGTTTCAGGGCGGGTCGGACTGACGAGGGCCTGAAAATGGCCCTCAGTTTCAGGTTGAAAATACTCAGGGCCGGAAAGGCCCTGATTTAACCTGAAACGACACAGGGCGTGTAGGCCCTTGTTTTCAGGCTATCAGGCTGAAAAAATGGTGTGTAGGCCCTTGTTTTCAGGCTTTTGGCCTGAAAACGTCACGGGCCTGAAAGGGGGCCCGTGTGGCCTGTTGCAGGCGCAACATGTAGCAGTACCAAAGGAGGGATTTGAGAACGGGCGGCATCTGCAGAGGGCGCCAACTGTCAAGAACCGGAGATCAGCGCAAGGAACATGAATATGGACGAAGCACAAAAATCCAGATTGCAAAATCACACTGAAGTCCAAGTAGTCAAAGCAAGAGCAGATAGCACAATGGAACCGAGTAACCATCCAGAACGATACAGAAGAATCGTGACTCAATGTCCAAGCCCAACAGGGCAACACCAATAGCATAACCCAATGTAGCTCTCTCTCTTGAATGGCGCCAGGCGCCCTACCTACTCTACAACCTAACACTACAACTACAGTATGAAAGCAACCAGACAACTTGACGACCAGCGAGTGATGATGTCAACAGCAATGCCGACCTCCCATCTCCACCTGGTACGTCTCTCTCTTCGCCCACACTCTCCCTTGTTATCCCACACAGCGCCCTTCACCTCCGAAGAACCACCTTCGCCCTTCCTCGTCTGCGCCCACAGGCAGCCCGGCAATGGCCGCCAGTGCCCTGCGCCCAGGCAGTGCCCTACCGCTTAGCGCTTGCCTGCCTCCCTCAGCCCAGCGCAGCTCTGCACAACGCAGCACCTCGCAAATGCACAGCGTGCCCGCAATGCCTGCATTGGCCAAGATCCTTGCCCACTCGCCCTGCTTGCCCATATGCCAATGTTGCATGTGGGTGGCCTCCCTTGAGCCTGTGCCTGGGCCTCAATACCTATACCCAGGCCCGATGCAGTTGGGGGCCCAAGGAGATGCAATTGTGCCTCTTTCATCAAGGCCTACGGCCAGATTCGGATAGTGGACCGGTTTCTCATTGGCATTTTCGACCTCTATATCCAGCATGCATTGTCGGCCTCACGTTTATGTGCCCAGGGCCTAACCAACTCGGGGCCCTGGGATTTCCGCATTTGCAGAGCTCTGATACTCGGTGCACACCATCCAACTGGCGTGCTGCAACTCTATGGACCCCACTTCGTGAAATGTGTGCACAGAGGGCTCTTGTTGATTTGCTGGCTCGCTTTCACTTAGGGCGGGCACTAGGCTTGCTGGGGCCTTAGCCCACAACAAGTACTTCATGGCAAGGCCCCTTCTTGAGGGCTCAATCCTCACATTCCATACCCCTTAGCTTTGAAAGTCCGCTGAGATGCTTACTTCGCAGGTGCCTTCCCTTTTGACATTCTCTCATACTCTGCCACCACTTGAGGAACTGTATCAATCAGTTCCTCTCTGGTGAACCATCGATCTTCCTTCGGATCTGTATGATGCCTCAATCTGACGCGATACTCCCGCTTGGGTTTTGGAGGTCGTCCTCTACCCAATGGCTTTTGAACAGGCAGATCTTTGTGATCCACAATGTTTTTGATGTCCACTTGACCATCCATGGTTGGGGGCAGCATCGATCTCCTTGAAGGGAATTGATCTGTATCAGCAAAAGGTGCAAGCTTTGAGGCATGAAAGACAGGGTGAGTGCGTCGGTATCTTGGGATACGGATAACATAGGTAGGACCATCCATCTCATCCCCCACGATATCCATGACTTCCCAGGGACCAAAATACTGAGGCATTAGTTTTCTAGAGATACCGAATTCCTGTCCTAACTCACTAGCCTTGACCCAGACACGTTCCCCTACCTGAAATGAGGACTGTCGTCGATGTTTGTTCTCAGAACCAATCATTGCTTGCTGATCTTTCTTAATATGCTTGACAACTTGCTGCAGCAACTTCTCATACTGCACACCATACTCAAGTGTGCCTGGAGTTGCAGAGGATCGGTTTTCAGGTAGGAGGAAGTCTAGAGCTTCCCAAGTGCAGCCGATTAGGACTGGCGCCGGTACTGTTGTGTACAACATTGTTGTACAGGCTGGCGATGAGAGGCAACTTCTCATCCCAATCATCCTGGCTGGGCTTGATGTAATGCCTCAGCAAGTGCTGTACAACTCTGTTCATTTGCTCGGCCTGTCCGTTGGCTACGGGATGATTCCCTGAAGTCATCTGAAGTTGATTGCCCATCTGCTCAGCAGTCTTCTTCCACAACTCACTTGTGAATCAGACATCTTTGTGACTAACGATTGACTTTGGAAGTCCAAAATCACGCACCCAGTTGTCCATAAACAACTTGATGGCGTGGCCAGTCCTTGCGGTCTCGGGCATGGCAACTAGTCTAGCGTACTTGGTGAATCGATCGATGATGACGAAGATGTGCCTCTTGCCACTCTTACTGGTCACCAGGGTGTCCATGAAATCCATGGAAACACTCTGTCCTGGACCAGCGGGGATAGGTAAGGGCTTCAGTAACCCAAGCGGTGCTTGAGTTCGCGGCTTGTCCCGCTGACAGATCTGAGAGGTCTCTACGTACTTCTTTGCGTCATCTAGCATTCCAGGCCACAAAAATCGTTGTACTAGATTGACACTCGTCTTTTTGTAGCCAAAGTGTTCGGTTGCGTCATGACATTCTCCTAGAAATAAACTACGCAAACTCTCACTCTTTGGAACTACTAACCTTTCACACCCGGCCTTATCAAGAAAGAGTAACCCATCCACCATCACAAACTCATTCTCTGTGGCCTTGTCTTTTGCCTGAAGTTTGCGGGTGATGTCCATCGTGACAGGGTCTTCCTAATAGGCTCCCGCCAGCGATTGAGTTATACTTTCTGAGATACACCAAACTCGTAAACTAGCGCCCCTAGGTAGTCTGCTCTACGAGATAGCGCATCTGCAGCCTTGTTATACTCTCCCTTCAGATACTCAAGCTTGAAGTCATACTGATCTATGACCTCAATCCAGCGCTTGAGTGCATCAGAAAGAGCCGGTTGAGTCTTGATCCATTTGAGCGTGTGATGGTCAGTTCTCAAGTAGAAGAACCGTCCCAACAGAAAATGTCTCCAATGGACAAGTGCGTTGTAGAGAGCATAGAGTTCCCTTTCGTAGGTGGACTTTGCCAATTTCTTCGATGGCAATTTCTTGCTCATGTACTCAATCGGTCTCAACTTCTTCCCATCTTGCTGAGCCAGCACTGCGCCAATGCCGTATTGGCTTGCGTCAGTGGTTACTATGAATGGCTTTTGAGGATCGGGAACCATGAGGACTTCATGATTCATGAGTGCTTTCTTTAATCGTTTGAAAGCAGCCTCACACTCATCACTCCTGTCCCACGGCGTGTCAAGTCGAGTTAGATCTGTCAAAGGAGAGGCGACTGTAGAATAGTTCTTTACGAAGTTCCTATAGTAGGCGCACATTCCTAAGAAAGATCTGACGTTAGTAACAGTCTGAGGTCGTGGCTAGTCCCTTATACTATCCACCTTCGCATCTTCCGGCCTAATCCCTTCCGCGGATACTTCATGACCCAAGTGTAAGATCTTAGTACGTCCGAACTCACACTTCTCTAGGTTGACCTTATACTTGTGCTGTCGCAAGAGTGAGAGTATAGTCTCAACGTGCTGTGCATGCTCTTCGACAGACTTACTAAACATCAGAATATCGTCGAGATAAACAACGACAAACTTATCTAAGTGGTCATGGAAGATCCTATTCATAGCGTGCTGGAATGTACCGGACGCGTTACAAAGGCCAAAGGGCATCACAACAAACTTGTAAAGACCATATCTGGTTTGAAATGCAGTTTTGTGCTGATCCTCAGGTCTTATTGCGATCTGATGGTAGTCGGATTTTAAATCTATCTTGCTATAGTACTTGCATCCCTGCACCCTATCCAATAGGTCGTCTATGCGAGGTAGAGGCTCTGCGTTCTTCACTGTGATGGCATTGAGGCCTCTATATTCAATGCACATCCTCAATGTACCCTCCTTCTTCGGTACAAATAGCACCGGAGATCCGTATGGGGAAGTACTTGGCCGGATCCATCCCTTTTCTGTCAGCTCTTTCAGTTGTCGCCGAAGTTCATCCAACTCGCCCGGAGCCATCCACAACTCGCGCGGAGCCATCCTATAGATCCTTCCCTTTGGGGTTTTACTTCCTGGAATGATTTCTATGGCGTGGACCAACCTCCCTTTCTATGACTCCTGTAGGCTCCTCGAACAGATCAGGGAACTTAGCAACGACGTGTTTTATCTGTGGGGGTGTTTTAATGGCCTCCCCTTTTTCAGAGACATACACAAGGTACATACCCTCCYCTTGGTTCTGTTTGTAATAGTTATAGAACGTTGATGCACACAAGCAGCCATAGGTATCTATTATGCTACTGGCTTTGAACTTAGTCAATCTGACTGTTCTGCCATCAGGCAACTTATGCTTTTGCACCTTCTTGTCGGAGTCAAACTGGGGCTTGGCAACCTCAAGGTAGTACATGCCTAACAACAAGTCGAATGGTACGTCGTCGCTAACAAGGAACGAAATCTTATGATTAAGTTCCCCTCCTCCATAGGAGAAGGTACAATCTATGTCCTTGATATAGTCTGTGACAATTATGTGCTCCTTATTGGCAAGGAACGAAATCTTATGATTAAGTTCCCCTCCTCCATAGGAGAAGGTACAGACTACGTCCTTGATACAGTCTGTGACAATCATGTGCTCCTTATTGGTCAAAGTAGATGCTACCGGTCTACTAAGGTGCTGTATCCGGTCCTGTAGGTGCAGCCTTTCCAAACAGTCGCAACTTATGTAATTCCACGTGGAGCCAATGGCTATGAAGGCACCACATTACCGGCCTCCTACATCAACTTCCACCACAAAATGTTCCCCTCTAGGACCCTTCCTTAGTGCCACCCAAGATTCAGGAGGGTCCTTGTTTGACCACTCGCTTTCCAGATCTTCTAAGGCTTCAGACACATCCAACGTACAGAGCATAGTTTGGTCTGGATGAGTCTGCGGGGTGACTAAAGAGTCGTTAGCTATGGCCATCTCATGAAGTGGGGAGGGTATCTGGCCCACTTCACCATGAGTAGAAGCAGCTAAAACTTCCATCGGCCTCACGTGTTTCCCGAGCTAGAAGCCTGGGAAGAAGATGGCCCCATCTTAGGAGGTATCTTCTGCGTGACCTTTGCGTTCTGGCACTTGTACTGGGTGTGTCCGTATTCACCACTGTTAATACAAGCACCACGCACTCGGTGGTCCCGCCACACTTCTTGATGAAGACCTGCCTTGACCCAATCAACAACTTTGGTCTGATTGGAGGCGGCCTTCCCTTGACTCTTTTGATGGCCCTTCACTCGGCCACCAGCCTTAGCCTTAACTACTGCGGCGAGGGTGCTACCCTCAGCGATCTCCTCACCGTCGTACTCAGAAACGTCCAACAGGTCGGTGAGCTCGTAGATCTCTGTTTGAGTCCCATCGGACTCAACCATCATTAATTTAGCCCCCTTCTTCTTCCATTCCTGTGGACTCTTCTTCTTCCTCGCGTCATTCTGAGAAGGTTGAGCATTTCCTAGAGTGGCTTCCAAATCTAAGGCTGTTTTAGATAACGTCTCAAACGAGTGATACTCGAGGCGAGCCTTGCTGGCCAGCAAGTTCCTGAGGTTCTCTGGGAGACATCTCACATATGTGGTCAACAGGAACTGGTTATCGTAGTTGATGCCTGAGACGACGATGAGGCTCTCTACGGTAGTCGTAAGCTTCCTGACTGACTTGAACTTTCTTTGGTCTAGCCTGTTTATCGCATCAGTGGCGATTTGAGCCTGGTGAGGATTGTGTCAACGAGCTTCTACCATCTCTAAGAACTGGTCTAACGTAATGGTCTTAGCCCAGTCCGCCATCCGTCGTATGTACCCAGCCTTTGAAACTAAACCATCCAGCCATTTGGCTGCCTTACCCTCAAGGTAAGATGCAGCAGTAATCACCTCCTCCTCCTGCAAAGTCCTCTTCGCCTTTACCCATACTGGAACCGTTCTCAACCATGTGTTGAGTTCCTCGTCCTTCTCTACCGAGAAGGCAAGAGGCGGTTTCATAGGGGTCTTAGGGTACCATTGACCTTGCGGCTGTCCCTGTTGAGGAACAGGTTGTTGCGGTGGTTGTGTAGCTATCACCGCTGGACCCGAAGAAGAAGAAGCAACAGTCTGTGCGGCTGCTGCAGACGTACCACTTGGTGTGTGCCAGCTTGTACGGGAAAGGGGCTTTTGACATCGCCGTTAACGGCTACGGGGACTGTGCTGCTGGTCTAAATCCTGGCCTTTGCAAAAGGTTCAAGATCTGGTCTAGAGATTTCATCAAGTCCAATCTGCTGTCCACGTGCGCATGCAACGACAACAGATTGTTCTTCAATGCTTTGAGCTGGTCAGACATTCCTGACTCGTCCAAACCCTCTAATGCAGCCTTGTCTGCCTCTAACGTATCAAGCCTTGCTGCTCTATTTTTTCTCTCTCTTTCTCTATCGGTTGCCTGCTTCAGTTCCCTCTATAACCGCTCGCGGATCCTTTCGACATGTTGGAGCTCTAGGAGCTCCCTGCCGCGTGGGGTCAACGGGCGTAACTGCGAGCCCGCCATTTGACTGATAGACTGACCAAAACTCTTTGAACCGGAAGTACCCGTGTGCCCAAGGGGCATTCCCAACTTGGTCCCAGACGAGGACGCAGACGAGGACGCACCAGAGCGTGCGCCATTAGCCATTGATGCTGCTCTGGCTGCTGCTGCCTGCTCTCTAGCTGCTTGGTTTGCTGCTGCCAACGCTGCTGCAAGAGCACGGGCTCTTCGTTCGGCACGAAGCCGTCTTTCGTCTTCCGGTTGTAAGGCCTGAAACACGTGCGGGACCCTAAGTGCCCTTGAACGTGTTAGTCTTCTATTGTCAACTCTTACCCTCATCGGTGTCTGACCCACTCATCAGTTAGGCAAACACTGTCTGCACTAGAACCCCCTAATGGAGTCCTACCACAGCAGGTGTCTGACCGACACCTAATTTTCTAAAAATAATTGTGTCCGGCAGGTCCCCTACTTTACCGATCAAGTGGCAGCCTACAACATTCACAATAGACTGTCAACATGGTCTAGGTGTATCTTGATTGGTTCACTTACAGCAGCATTAGATAGAAATCAATATGGTAGTATACAGCAGTCCTGCTCTAATCTGTCTGTGAGGTGTTAGCAGCTCTCAACCAACTAATCAATAATAAGCCAAGACCATGTTGCAGATGTATGATCAGTGGGTATGGTTGTGTATCCAGTTGAGCATCAATTAGAACCTACCCTCTCCTCAATTCAACATACCGAACAACATCAATGAGCAGCGATGTCTTCGTGTGTGTTTTCGGCCCACCCCTGTGCCCAAGTCATTGTCGAGCAAGCCAGCCCATCCACTCTTATTTACCCTCGTACGGAACGAGCCTTACTGCCAAGTGTGATCTGGCTGATCAGGAGGAATTTAAGGAGAGCCTCCATCTCCGCAGGAATTATTTAACATCGCAGACAGGACGACAATCACAGCCAGAATCAACACTGAGTCCCCAACCAGAAATGTTTATAGATGGTCTGGTAAGCGTCTCATATTGGCTGGCACACTCGGCAGGACTTCTATCAGCGCAGCAAAGTGCCAAAATGGACAGCAGCCATCGCATGCGTGACCTACTCCCATTGGGTTGGCATGGTGGCCGTGACCCAGTGCTTCGACCAGGGCCCTTCAGAGGCACCGCGCTTTCGCCTTCCAGATGCTTTCGGAAAGATTGTCGTCTCTCAAGGTAGCGCGCTCACGACACCTCACCAAAAGAGAGGACTCTCAAGATGGTCTCACTTCCTCGCGGTAAGAAGAGATTGAGAGGCTATATAAGGTAAGGGAACAACGTACCTGGAGATAGCTGCCCCCAACCACAGATTTCTCACCAATTGAGCTGAGTGTGCATTTGATGACCGGTCTTGGCATCGGTACCACCCACAACGCAATGCAGTGCCACCTCAGCCGAATGCCACATCAGCATGCTCTCATCACCAATCATACATTCCGCCTGTCACAACGACAATCAATGCCGTCTTAGCCTTCCGACGCACACCTCTCTACCCAGGCTGTGCGCCGAACATGGCCTGACGTCAAAAGAACCAAGTGCGAAGAAGCATCGTCAACGCACCAAGTCTGTATAATGCCAGCGCACCAAGGTAAGTGGCGAATCTAACCAGCTCCGATACCAAAATGCAAGGAACATGAATATGGACGAAGCACAGAAATCCAGATTGCAAAATCACACTGAAGTCCAAGTAGTCAAAGCAAG